CTCTGCAGGATTGTGGCATCTTTCAAAGATTCAGTGATTACCATGGTGAATGACGTCAAGTTGACCATTACAATATGGCGGACGGCTTACGTATAGCGGCCCATAGAAACAGTAGCTAATGAGGCGCATATATATATGATGCAGATAACATGGTCTTGACCCTTAAGAAACTTTATTTAATGCTGTTACGTAACAAATCTGTTCAAATATAAAATTAAAAGAATTGTTAATTACTACATTGAAATAAAAATGTAAAGCCTGTACAATTAGTAGAAATTGTGAATATAAATAATTGGGAATCATGTAAAAAATTTAAAAAAAATAAAAACTGTGCACATTTCATTTATTATAACATTTATGTAGTCATAAGAACATTGTCAAGAAATTACATACAAATACATATAGTAAAACAAAAAGAGGAAAAGAAAAACATGTTATAAAAAAAACAAAGAAAAACAAGATGACAAGACAAGGAGACCCAAGAATGCATACATAACCACTATTGATACAATAACATACAAACATTAATATACAGGGAAGGCTTTTAAATGCATGTATTTTCTTTAAACATTTCTTCATAATATTTTATAAATCTTAGGTATTTTTTATTTATATAGGAGATTTAAGAAGTGATATTAATTCAGTTTTAGGATGGAATATTATTGGCAAACTTGTGTATGAATAAAGAATTTGCCATATAAAGTTAACAATATACTCTAGGGGTGTATTTTTATCATCAATATAGTAAAAAATAATGTCTTTTAGACTGAAAGAATAAGTAACATTGGCCGAATCGAATACATAGGAGCCAAGGTCAGACCAAAATTGCTTGAATATAGGGCAATCATAAAACAAATGTGCAAATGTCTCTTCTGATTGCTTACAAAAAGCACATGAACTGTCAATGTCCAGATATTTAGAAATAGAGTTTACAGGATATATTTTATGTAAAATGTTGTAATGTATTTCTTTAGCTTTATTGGAAATACAGTATTTTCCAGGTAAAAGCCAGGCCCTTCTCCAATCTATATCTTCTACCAAAGATCTCCAATAGAACTTTCCTCTTGGAGAAATGTTTTTCTTGAATTGAAAGATTTGGCGTACATGTCTATTGGTACATTTATTGTCTAAAAAATCAATTCCATCCAAGAACAAAGTAGATTGTATTGTGACTGTTCTTCTTTGATTATATAGGGAGTGGCTTTTAACAAGATGAATTAACCCAGGTGAGATTGCTTTAACCACTGTATTAAACTCTTTTGGAGGAATCGGGAAATTGTGGTAAGTCAGGGAAAGCTTTTAAATACATGTATTTTCTTTAAACATTTCTTCATAATATTTTATAAATCTTTGGGATTTTTTGTTATTTATATAACTAAGAGATTTAAGAAGTGATATTAATTCAGTTTTAAAATGGGGATATGATGGAATCTGCCATATAAAATAAAGAAGTTAACAATATACTCTAGGGGTCTATTTTTATCATCGATATAATAAAAAATAATGTCTTTTAGACTGAAAGAATAAGTAACATTGGCCGAATCGAATATATAGGAGCCAAGGTCAGACCAAAATTGCTTGGATATAGGGCAATCATAAAACAAATGTGCAAATGTCTCTTCTGATTGCTTACAAAAAGCACATGAACTGTCAATGTCCAGATATTTAGAAATATTAGAGTTTACAGGATATATTTTATGTAAAATTTTGAAATGTATTTCTTTAGCTTTATTGGAAATACAGTATTTTCCAGGTAAAAGCCAGGCCCTTCTCCAATCTATATCTTCTACCAAAGATCTCCAATAGAACTTTCCTCTTGGAGAAATTTTTTTCTTGAATTGAAAGATTTGGCGTACATGTCTATTGGTACATTTCTTGTCTAAAAAATCAATTCCATCCAAGAACAAAGTAGATTGTATTGTGACTGTTCTTCTTTGATTATATAGGGAGTGGCTTTTAACAAGATGAATTAACCCAGGTGAGATTGCTTTAACCACTGTATTAAACTCTTTTGGAGGAATCGGGAAATTGTGGTAAGTCACAAATTGCTCATAAGTAAAAAGGTTACCCGAGTCATCAAATAAGGAGAGGATACTGTTAATATTATTTTGGAACCATCCTGGGGAAAAATAAAGATTTATTTCTGACAGTGATATCTCTGTTATTCCATAACCGTGTTTTATGAGGTGAAAAACTATGAACATAACACAGTTTCCAAGCAAGGAGACATTGCTGATGAAATTTGGACAAGGTAATGGGTAACTTAGAAGGTAAATAGTTGCAGTTTAAAATAAAGGAAAGGCTACCAATTTTTCCAAATATTTGGTTGGGGATAAAGAACCAGATTACAACTGGAACGAGCCGGAGTGATTCGGAAAGATGGCGGCGCACGCTGACAGGCAGGAGCTGCAGGTGTAAACGCTGCCAATTTTAAACTAAAAACTGATCACTCTGATTTCAAAACTAGAGTCAATCAAAGCCAAAATACTGCCGATAGGACACAGAAAATTATTGTTATTGGCTATACTGCTATCCTTTTGTTTCTATCAATACGTCGCTGTTGGGAAACAAACATACATCAACGGTGGACAGACACGCAAGTTGTTGTTACTACCTCTGATTTATGCAGCCAATTCACTTCTTTCTCCGTGATATTAAACGACGGAAAAGTGACTTTTCCAACAAAGCACTTGCGATCTATCGAGAGAAGAAAACCATCTCAATTGTTCCGGAGAACGATCAGTTATTTAGCCATTACTCTTCTTCTGGCGAGCGACGTTCATCAAAATCCAGGACCTGGACCTAAAGACGATGCACGGCCTTTTGGAGTTAACAGACTACAAGGTACTTTTAAACTGTGGGCACACAACGAGACAAAGGATTTTCATCTGTTTAAAACGGCAAATCATGAGAAACTTTTATGGGATTCGCGTTCAAAGCCCAAAGGATTACTTATGGGACATTTAAACATCAGAAGCGTTGCCTCAAAAACTGAACAACTGGAACAGTTACTTACAAATTCGAACTTCGATTTGCTTTGCTTGTCAGAAACATCACCAAACACTGCATATCTGGTCCCGGGATATAAAGTCTTCAGAAAGGATCGAAAATTTGGAAAAGGTGGTGGACTGCTTATGTACGTGAAGGACTGCATTAAATGTAAGGAAATTGAATTCAGTACTTTAGTGGATATAGAATATATTGCTGTAACAATTGTTTTATCTCCATGTATGACATATAAACGCCCCCTTGGCTAATTCTAAATAAAGTTCATTAGTTTGCAAATTTATACTATTCAGCTCCAGTTTTTCTTCTTCTGAGATGTTCTCTTTTAATAATAACTCATTTAAACGACAAATCAGATTAGATAAATCAAAGAGATAAATTTTTATTGGACCAAGTATAATCCTGGAATCTGGGTTTATAAAATCGCCATACATCAGTCAAAGAAAGATCTAAAGAATTAAGTCATTTCTTAGTGCAACATTGCTAGGCCTGGGGGGATATCTATCTAAAGCATCATCCATGCACTCATTAAAGTCACCACCTAAAATAACATAAGAACCTTTATATTCAGTAAGTAGTTCTTTGACTTTAGCAGAGATTTGAGGAAAAATAATCTTATTAGAGGAATGAGAGTTAAACCCATAGATGTTGCATAAAATGAAAATGCTTAATAACTGTTGTAATCCATCTTCCATCATTTGATTCCACCACTTTTAGAATATCCCCTTTACATTTGTGTATGAGAGTCATGACCCCTGCAGAATGGCTACTGCCATGACTGGCAAAAATCGTATTTCCCCATTGTGACTTCCAAAATTTTAGATCTACATCTTCAGAGTGAGATTCTTGTAGAAAAATAAAATCTGCATCACTTCTCTTACAAAATAAAAAAAAAAAATGCTTTCCTTTTAACCATATCACATAATCCCTTGACATTTAGAGACAGAACAGACAAAGACCTAAACGTATAATCCATTAGAACAAATAAACATGAACAACCTGGAAACTGAAAAGAAAAATATTTTTAAAATTCACAACAGATAAGAAAACCCCCAAGAATTAAGAAACACTTAATACAAACAACAAGGGAGAGGTGGCTAACAACTTATTGAACATCTTAAAGGGGTCATATGATGTTGCTAAAAAGAACATTATTTTGTGTATTTGCTGTAATGAAATGCGTTTATGCGGTTTAAAGTTAAAAAACACATTATTTTCCACATACTGTACATTATTGTTTCTCCTCTATGCCCCGCCTTTCTGAAACGCGTATAAAGGTAAATAAAAATAAATGAATAAATAAATAAATATCAAAAAAGTAAACAAGACTATTAGGTAGACAACCTAATAAAAGGTCAACGTTATGTGACTATACAACTACTGCATTTCTTATTAATCAAAGAGTTATTCCTCGAAGAACAAAGTCAACACTACTTTACATCCGAAAAGACCTTTAAACACTATGCAAATACAGCACATTATACCTGATTAACAAACAAAGAAATGAAGTGCCAAGTAAAGATACACACCCAAGTTAACTTTATCAATAAAAATAAGAAGAAGAAGAAGAAAAAGAAAATAAATAGCCTAAATAAATGAAAAGATAAAGAATAGAAATAATAATAATAATAAACAAAAATAAAGGTAAATAAAAATAAATGAATAAATAAATAAATATCAAAAAAGTAAACAAGACTATTAGGTAGACAACCTAATAAAAGGTCAACGTTATGTGACTATACAACTACTGCATTTCTTATTAATCAAAGAGTTATTCCTCGAAGAACAAAGTCAACACTACTTTACATCCGAAAAGAAGTGCTTCTTTCCATCAATTAACGCGAACGAGGAGCGGAAGGAAGCCTTCTTACCCGCATCCCTTGCTGCTTTAACTAGAGGCCAGAGTTTCTCCCTCGCTGCCCTGTCTTCTGGAGATAGGGGTTCTGTAAGACGCAGGCCGTTGTCTTCCAGATACTTGCATCTTCTTGCAGCCCGCCAGATGCCATCTCGCACACGGCGGAAGGAGAACAGGACAATGATAGCTCTTGCCTTTCCATCATCCCTTGCCGGACCCAGTCGGTGAGCTATATCCAGGCCGTCATTTAATCTGTCGCGAATATCTGGCACCATTTTTCCGAAGATATCCACTACCACACTCCTGACATCCTCCCCTGCTCTTTCTTTGACCCCGTGCAACTTAAAGACAAATCAGTTATTATCATAATCATGTATTTATTTGGTTTAATTTCATCTGTCAGTGTGTATGCCCTTGTTGATACTGGAAATAGTCTTGTTTTCGTATGTAACCCTTGTCCCCTGAAGGAAGGAAAGGAGACGATATGCTGATACTGACGTATTGGGAGACCAATCACCTGTGAGTAGTACAAGAAATAGCCAATAATTATTGGCGAGTGGGATTTGCATGCCAAGCCACTCCACGCACATACAGGTATATAGATGGCGGCATGCATGCACTCATTCAGGTTTGTGCTGAGAACACGTCATTCAGCTGTAACAGGGTTACAGACTTGAGCGAGACATTCCCTTTCAGCCATCAATGCTGCTGTATTGAGGAAACCACCGCAACCAATGAATTTGTGTTACGCAATTTGGCGATGCAGGTGCTGGCATCTAGTGGACACATGAACAAAGACTTCTGTAGTTTAAGTCTAGAGTTTTCTGAGAGACTTGCTGTTATCCACAAGTTCTCTACCTCTTTCAGTATGGCTCGTTGTGTTCTTAGAATGATCTTTGCAGGATGCCCGCTTCTTGGGAGAGTAACAGTCCAGAATTTTCTATATTTGCAGACAGCAAAGTGTTTGTTGCGTTTTCCATCTTTGTAATTCTCTGGAATGCATTTGTAAGCTGTTAGGATCAAGGCATGTTCGACACTAACCAACCTTTCTTGAGACGAACAGATCTGTCAGTACTTTGTGTGCCTTTACTTAAAGAGCAGGGCATCACTCAGTTTCTTCAATAACATTTTGAAAACTACAGCTTTTTGTGTGTTATTAAACAAATGATTTTTGTCTTTCATTGTGACATGCATTTCTGTGAAAATGAGGTCTGATCTTCATCTATTTAGATATTTTAAAATGCTTCACAAACATAAACTTGTCACTGTACATAATATACTTTATCATAATTAAAAAAATTAGTTGTTGTTCAACAGATATTAGAGATATGACAGAAAGATTTTAGCAGAAATGCGTAGCTGGTTGACATGCATTCACTCTGTCCCGCTTTTATCATTCAGCCAAACTAATTTATTTAATGTATTTGTACTAAACATTACAATTTTTTATAATACGATTTTTTTTTTACAATCAGTATGAAACAATTAAAACATTATTACATGCTTACAAAATGTTACATTATTGAAAAAACACTACTCTGTCTGAATGTTGGGTTCATGTGTATGTCCCTTACGAAACATAACCACGGTTTTATTATAGTAAAAGTGTAGTAATCTTTTTTTTTTTTTTTTTTTTGGTTTTGGTTTAACATTTGTATAACCGCAGTTTTTTTTTTTTTTTTTTTTTTTTTTTTTT